GCAAGTTTAGAATGTGCCAGAAACTTCTCATTGGCATGATACCATTTTACCAATTGAGCCACAGTGTCCTTTGTAGCCATTTTTGTTCTTTTAACAGTGGACCCACTCAGATGGGTCCCGTTGCATTTAGCAGCCCCATGAGTTGCCACCACTGTTGTTTTTCATGCTTTTCACCTGTCTTGAGTGCTCCAGCTGGGCTTCTCCCATTTCTATAGGATGGATTTTACCTTTTAAAATCCATAAAATAGTCGTGTGATACAGCAGTCAAAGCTGCACCTTGCACAGGAACATGTCTTCCCAGCCATCTCTATAGAGGTCAGGAGTTTAAGGTCACTTACTGGCTTTTGTTCTACATGCGCATGCGTGTGTTGAGGTGCTACAGACCAGAGTCCAGATTCCCCTGGCGCTGGAGCCACAGGCATTTGTCTGTTGCCTATTGCAGATGCTGGGAAGTGAACTCTGATACTCTGGAAGGGCAGCAAGTGCTCTTTTTTTTTTTTTTTTTTAATATTTATTTATTTATTTATTATGTATACAATATTCTGTCTGTATGCCCGAAGGCCAGAAGAGGGCGCCAGACCTCTCTACAGATGGTTGTGAGCCACCATATGGTTGCTGGGAATTGAACTCAGGACCTATGGAAGAGCAGGCAATGCTCTTAACCACTGAGCCATCTCTCCAGCCCAGCAAGTGCTCTTAAACCCTGAGTCATCTCTCCAGGCCCCTGTGTTGGCTTTTTTGATTGAATATGCTTGTGTTTATAGAATTTTCCTTTCTAATTCATTTTTAAAGTTTTTAATCCATGTATGTATTGTGTTGGCCTTTGAATTGACAGCCGTCTATAACCAGTATGATGGGGAGAAGACTACTCTTGCAAAACTGGGGTGAAAAGTCAAAATCTAATTCTGGTTGCTAGAATAAAGCCTCCCAAGGAGATCTATCCTTAACATTCTCAGGGTTACTTCATGATATTTTAAACCGTGTGATTGTGATCCCTCTTCAGCTCCCCAACCTCTAAGTATGGGCGAGTTGAGCCATGGTTTACCCTGACTTTGTATATTTTTCTCCCAGGATGCCAGGATAGTATCTCTACAGAGAGCTTTAGTAGCCCTAAAGAGTCGACTTCAGCTGATATGACCATTATACCTAGAAATGACAGCTTCTCCTTACTAGAGACCAGCAGCCACTGTCTAAGCAGCCAGTCCCCTGAGGCTGTTGACATTTGCAATGTGACGGTCAGTGATATGTATGAAGGCATGATCCATTCGATGAGTCAGCTGCTGAGCCTACAGCCCTCATGCATAATCTCCACCAAGACTTACATCAACCAGAACTGGAACCTCAGGAGGAGGCTCTCGCGTAAGAGTGGGCTACACTATAATAGGACATACTGCTATGGGAGCAAGCCCTCCCGAAGGAGCTCCAAGCCAGGGAAAGAGGCCATGATACTGAGAAACTGCACCAACTTACCGCACATTGTTCCCCTCAAGACAGACTTAAAACCGGAAAGGGGAGCTCTCAAAGGAAGCAAACTCCAAGTTCATAAATGCAGTCCAGCTTGGAAGGCGCTTCACGGGACGCCTCAGAAGTGTTTGGACTTCAACACACCAAACTGTCTTGAGCAAGAAAATGGAGCGAAGGCATTCCCGTTGCTAATTTCACCTGGTAAAATGGTTCCCAGACAAAGGATGCTACCTGGGGAAATTGAAATGAAATTTGACAAACTTGCTCAGGAGTATAGCCTGTCTCCTCGGAAACAGCTTTGCCAGACTGGCCCCACTGAGTCCTGGGCTGTTGATGTGTACAGAGGTGCTTCTAGACGCCTGGGCAGCCCCCAGGACATAAAAACCCACAGGTTGAGTTCACTTTTCAACAGAGAAAAGGCAAAGAGGTCAAGTGAGGCTTTTGAAGACCTGAGCAAAATATCTGTCAAAGCCAACAGATGCCTCCCGAGTTGCCTTCCTGCTCTGTTAGCATCAGAGGACAGCACCTCACAAAACCCAGGCCTTTCTCTTCAAGGACCTGATTCTGGGCCAATCAGAAGAAAGACAGCATCACCCAGGACGGCTGTTTCAGCACCATGGAGAAGGTCTTGGCCCAGTGGGGAGGACCGCTATGAGGAGATTAAAAAAGAATTTGATAAGCTTTATCAGAGGTATTGCCTGATGTCACCTCAGCGGGTGAAGGTGACCTCATATGTTAGAGTATCTCCAAAAAAAGCTGGTGCAGCTGTTCCTTGTCAGACAGCCGATTTAAGAAAATTAAATCCAGACTCTGGATTCCGGTGTTCCCCAAAATTGGCAACACCTGACAGGAACAGAAGCCTGCAGGGCTCAGTTCCAGCTGAGGCACACATATCTGTGCGGACTGCTCGTACCTCTGAGAGAGACTCTCCAGTTCCAGCAAAGAGGCGCAAGTTGTCATACTCTCAGGATTCTGCAGGAGAAGTGGACCAAACAATGCCCTGGCCATAGGAGCAGACTAGCCCCGTGTGGCCGGGCTGCTGAGGAGGTGTTTCTGTCTGTTGAGCATGACAGCTATGTGGAGTGAGTAGCTGTGGGGAGACAAGGCACTATGGCAGACACTTCTGTTTCTCTTGCTGGAGATGGTACCGTCAACCACTGCAGCTCCCTCCCCGTAGCCATCAGCCCCTGTCCGGCCACCTCCCCTGTTCCACATCACCAGCATCTTTGTCTTTTCATGTGGAGTGTTAGTTGGTGCCTTGGGCTTCCCCAGCCACTTAGCCAAACTTACCCATTATTGAGTCTCCTAATTCTATTCAGGGGGATTCTCGATGGCTTTCTTTCTCTTAATTTTAATTATCTGCCTTGTCTCTACTCCCCTCTCCCTCACATCTTATCCATCCTCACTTCTGCCTCTGTGTAGCTGAATGTCTCTGGGTACCCATAGGTGCTTCTATGGGACATAGTGTAGACATGGGTAAGTCCGTGAATTTGGGACATAACACAACCATTGGCTTGATCTTTGGAGCTCTGGATTTTTTTTTTCTTTTTGGGGTTTTTGTTTCATTTGGTTTTTGAGACAGTCTTGCAAAGTGTGAGCTGACCTCAGCCTCACTGTATAGTCCAGGTGCTCTTGAGTTCCTGATCCTCCTGCCTCTGTTTCCCAAATCCTGAGACTATTTTTATTTTCCAAATATTTCCATGGGTAAAATACTTTGTGAACTATATATTCCTGGTTGAACTTCTAGAAAGGGACCCACCTAGGATCAGGCCAGACGACACCAGAAGCAACCCCAGTCCTAGGTGCCACACCAACTGGGTCTCTGGCTGCCTGGTGTGGCAGGTGTCCCTGGTAGGGTGTGCCCGCACAATCCCCTTTGCTGCTGGTCGTAAGTTGTTTGCCTAGTTGCCTCAACCCCCCAGGGCCCCCTTTGGCTTTCCTCAGCGAAACAGCCCCCATCATGTGTCTCAGTGGCCCGCTCCAGACACTGGAAGTGATGTAAGATTGTACTCATGTTTGAGTCCTAAGATCCTGAGGGGAAGGAAGGGTCTTTGGAGACCTTAGCCACTTACAGATAGTCTGCCTTCAACTTGCCCAATAGCCTTTGTAAATGATGCCCAGCCCAGCAATGGAAACAGCTACGACTCGGTGCCCACTGGTGCGCTCTGCTGATGGGAACAAACATTGTGCTTGGCCTTCACCTTGGGTTTTTATTGTTTCGGGGGAGTTGTTTTGTTTTGAGGTGCTAAGGATGGAACCCAAGCTTCATGCTTGCTTCATGAGTGCTGACACAGACTCACACTCCAGTCTGCCCACTTGAGTCTGACAGATTCCCAAAGCCCTTCTGTTCTCTTCACCTCTGCTGGAGTTGGGCTTACTCTGGGTTCACACGAACCTATCTAGTGCCAAACATCACAAATAACTTTTCCTCTGATTTGTTACTTTTCTGATATTATGTGTAATTACAGTAGCTAAAGAGCTTAAACCTTTTGTTGTTATTGTTTTGTGGGGGTTTTTGTTGTTGTTGTTTGTTTGTTTGTTTGTTTGTTTTTCAAGACAGGGTTTCTCTGTAGCTTTGGAGTCTGTCCTAGAACTAGCTCTTGTAGACCAGGCTGACCTCGAACTCACAGTGATCTGCCTGCCTCTGCCTCCCAAGTGTTGGGATTAAAGGTGTGCACCACCACCGCCCAGCCGAGCTTAAACCTTTTACTCTCCTGAATTCTGTTACTTTGTAAAAGAAAATCCACATCAGAAATGGGACATTTCCTCAGTTCTGCTGGTCACCTTTTAGCCTATAAGTGTTCCACACAGTGGGGAGGGGAGCCCAAGGCATAGATGTGTGTAGATTTGTTACATGACCCATCTTGGGCCGGTGCACAAGTGGCTGTAGAGTTACTAATATCAATACTTTACTGCTTATTCAGGGGGAGCCAAAAAATAAAAATAAGAAGCTACAAAAATCACCCTTGGTGAGAGGTCTCAGCAAGCGAGTTGCTTCTGGCTGGGTGATTGCCTCCTTGATTGGGGTGGGGGTTGGGAGAGTCCCCTGCGTGGTGCTGCCTTCAATACAGTTGTCTGCCCTAACCTCAGCCTTGAGCACTCCGTTGCCATCCCAAGACTTAGAAAATCTGTCCTTCTTCTTTCTCTCTTCCCCATCTGTCTACTAAACACAGGCTAATTACCCTTCTTCCTCCCTGCCAAACTGTGTTCCAGCAACATCCCTTGAACACCTCAGGCAGGGGTAAGCTTTGAACATTGCTTCCCCAGGGAAGCTCCCCAGGGTGTCATGATCGGCTATGGATACATCTGCCTTTTGCTTTAGGAATTAGGTCCCTGGGGGCAGGCTGGGCAGTAGTTTCACCTTCCCTTGCTGCTTGGCACCATGCCCAGATGTGGGAGAGCACTGTGGCATGACCACACCCACAAAGGATGAAGAGGCCCCATTGCCCCTAGGTCAGCTCTAGGATGCAGTGTCCACATAGCCAGGAACCTGCACTCCAGAGAGCCATGGAGGAATATCAGAGGGAAAAGAGAGATGGGTACACATTCTTTATCAAGTTGGTTTTTGTTGTTGTTTTTTTCTACAAATGAAATCATTTTCTACAAAATGATTTGCCTTGCTATGGCAGACATGACCCTGACGAGAGTTTACACCTTACATTGGGGCCACTTAGGGCAGTCCTCTGGGTGAAGCCAAGAGCCAGTGCTGATTGCAGTTGTCCAGGACTTTGAGGGTCTCCAAGGCCGCCCTCCTGACCCCAGCATCAGAATCTAGCTGTAGGTCCTGGAGAGCTGAGTGGGAATAGGAAAGAACAGGCCTGGTTAGGACCACATGAACTCTGCAGAGGGAGGCAGGCTGGCACCAGCAGGGACACCCCCCTGGGAACCACAGGCCTAAGTGTTCCCACACTCTCCACAGACCTGTCAGTACTCTGACACCACCTTGGCTGTGGGATTGGGGCAGAGGCAGCTGAAGTATCTGAGAATGGGGATGGCGTGGACTCCACCTACCAAATGGCCCTGGAATCTCTCCCTACGTGCAGTCCCAAGGTCCAGCTATTCCCTCTTCCCCATCATAGTCTCAAAGTGTCGGTCATAAATTTCTATAACTGAGTGTGCTACTTAACAATTCCGAAGCCCCACAAGGTCCATCTTCTTCAGATAATGGGCAGACAGCTGCTTCATGATAATTCCTGAAATGACAGAGGTACTCCTTATACCAGGGAGTGGTCAGCAGACAGTTCTGCCTCCCTCCTTGCAAGAGGTGCAGGTTAACCTATGAAGACATCTGTCGAGTGTTGTCAGGCTGAAGTTGGTAGTGAGCACCCTTATTCAAGCAAGCATGGAACCCTGTGAGCTAGTAGGCCCGTACTGTAAGGTAGACAGACCTAGGTTCTCAGCCCAGCCCAGACACTTGTCTCTCCATCCAGTCCTGGGGCTTCAAGACTCCCCTTATCCTGAACACATCTGTCCACTCACCTGCCAAGGCACAGGCAGAGATTCTGATCCTTGACAAGTTGCTCTTCATGAAGATTGTTGTTTCTACCAGGAAGCCACAAAGAATTGCAGGCTTTTTCTGGGCCTGCAAAAACAAGTGCCACATGATTGTCGAGGGTGAGATGGGGACAGACACTCCCATCTGATGAGTCAGTGCTTGGCCATAGCGGGCAAGAGCACCACCCAGCAGGGTAGCTGGGCCCAGTAATGACCCTTAGCTCTTGGTTTCATTATCTGACTCTGTTGTGCCTATTGAATGTATTTGTGAACCTGTGCTGTCCAAAATACCAGCTACTCTTGGCCCCTGAGCGTAGGAGCATGGCCGATGGGAATATCAGGGAACTTCCTGGGCTTGATCACAATTTAGTTACCTGGATCTAAATAAATCCTATTGTCAAAATTAGCTTTTGTCTCTACTCTGATTGTGGCAGTTATAAAAGTTAATGTGGGCACCCTCGCATTGTCCCATTGGGTGAATGTGGGGTCATAAGTCCAACCTTGTGGCCCCCCCGCCCCCTGACCTCCTCACCAGTACGGAGCACATGTTTGTCTGAAAAACTGTCATCTGGTCATTGATGCTGTCATTGCTGTGACCAAAGGAACTCTCCAGGGACTTCCAGCCCCAGAAATGCACACACTGAAACATGGTAGCCAGACATGCCTGAAGGGACGCAGGACACAAGACAGCAGGAGAAACATGAACAAGCAGGGCGCTGGGTAGCATCTCACCCGCGGAGTGAGAAGGCAGCCCCAGGACGGCCCCTAGAGCAAAGGAAAGCCAGGCTGGAGGCTTCAGGGAGCTCACTCATGACCTGTGATAAGCCCTTGCAGGTCAGGTGCCCCTGACACGCCCCTCCAGCCAACACCTTTACCCTTACAGCACATTTTGGATGGGCAGACCTCCTACTCTACCCCCTCCCACTCCCAAGATGAGACAGACCAAGCTGGGCCCTCTCAACTCCTAGCAGCCCTAAAGAGGATGCCCACAGGGACCTGTAAGGGAAAGTGTAAGACAAATTTTAAGTGGGACCGAGTCCAGGTACCTGAATAGAGGGAAAGGAAATAAAGACACTAGCTTTCATAGGCTCCCTTTTGGAGTCCCTGGCATGATTTCTATCCCAGCATGCATAAGGGATGGGGCAGACGTGGAGTGAGAGGAGAAAATCCAGTAGCTCACTGAGCCAGCAGAACCAAGGCACTTTTCCCCTTGGGCACTGCAGCCCCAGATCATAGGACACAGAGGAGGGTGTGTGTTACCTGAGCTACACTGGAGCAGGGGTCCTGGCAGTGCAGCATGAGGGAGACCCAGCCTCTCTTCACCTCCCCTTTGAAGAAATGCTTCTTGGAAATCCCAACCACCTTCGCCAGCTTCCCGAAGAGGGTGAAGGCCTTCAAACGCATCATCTCGCTCTCCTGAAACCAAGAGGTACAAGTGGGCAGAGGGCAAGAAGCCAGGAAGGAACCCAGCCTTCCTCCAGGGGCCCTTCCAATGCCTTGGTTTCCACAGAGCTTTCTGGAACCATTTATCAGGACAGTCCCTCCTTCCTCGGGGCTCATGTAGCACTCAAGAGACTGGGCATGACTCTAGCTTGGGGGTCCACCCCAAGGGCGTGTATGAGGGTTCGAATGGAATATGGATGCACCGTGTTGCCTGCCCAGCTCCAGTCTCCACAGAAGCCCAGAGAGTATATGTGAGCTGCAAGGGGTGACTGGGCTCTCTTCCTCGTAAGGTAGAAGCACCAGAGCCCTCGAATTCTAAGGTGCTGATTCTCTGGCTCTTGGCATAAGGCATGGTTGCTACAGGACCCCAAGATCAGTCAAGGAACGTTACACCACACCATGGAGAAACAGCTCGTTCTGCCCCCGGACACATCTCTTCTTTGTGCTGTGAAACAGGGTGCTGTGACTTGAATGTGCCCCAACCTAGAGTTCACGTGTGGGAAGCTTAGTCCCCCAAATCATATATAGATGGCGTTTGTAGGTGGGACCTTTGGAGGGAATCAGCATGAGATTGTGAGGGCGGCGCTCTCACGGTGGCCTTGGTGGCCTTATAATAAGAAAGGATCCAAGCTAGCGCACTCACTCCATCTCAATACAACGCAGCAAAAGGCACCTTAACAAAAGCAAGCACCGTGCTCTCAGATACCACAGACTCCAGAACCACAGGCTGCATAGATCGTTATAAATCCTCCAGTCTCGGGTGTTGTCTTAAAGCAAGAGGACACACAGATATGGAGGGAAGCTCTTATCTGCACTCACGCTGTCGAAGAATGCCCTGCACTGTTCAGAGATGGCTTCAAACGAAGATCCTATGTCCCCCTCTCGGAGCTCAGCCAGGACCTTGGTCAGGGCCTCCATGGCTTCAGCCATCACACTGCAACTCGCCTGTCCCTGCAGGGAGCCCAGGCACTTCTCTAGCAGGAGTTTTCGATACTGCTTCACCTAGAGGAATTCCGATCACTCAGCTACACCCCACACTTCCTGGAGGAGTGTGCCCACAAAGCCCTCAAGCCCCTCCCTGGCACCTGAGCCAGTGCCCGTTTGATACCTTCCGAGGAGCACCGAGAGCCATGTTGCCCAGGGCACGCAGAGAGAGCACCTGCAAGGTTTCATCTTTGTCCTGCCCTGCACCCTTCTCCAGCGTCAGCACCACCGGCCTCAGCAGCTTCTCCTGGTGCAGAACTGGGTCGCTCATGAACTAGAAAAGGGAGTGTTGCGGTTATCCATAGTGGAGGTCCAGCTACTCAGCAACAAGGCAGAGGAGTCGGGGGCAACACAGAGAATGGCCACTCTGTGAGAGGAAGGGAGGGACCAAGTGCCTCTGTCTTCTCATCCAGAAGAGGGGGTGGTACAGCTGCCTCAGGCTTGCTGTAGCGTTCAGTAAGGAACCATGTAGGAAAGTAACAGGTAAGTGCTGCCTCTTGTAGAGACAGGCATACCTCATAATTAATTTCTTCACTTAAGATGGCAGCCAAGCTGCCATGGGTAAAACCCTCACCTACTGGTGTCTGAACAGAAGTGTGCAGAAGCATGAATAAGGATAGTTGACAGAATCTCCATCGGGCTGTACTTAAGAGTGTCAAGACTTTGGGCCAGTGGGGAACCTGTGGGATGCATGTGTGTGTGCATGCTCAATAACACCTGAGTATTGTTTTGTTTATTTTGTGGTGTTTTGTTTGTTGTTGTTGTTGTTGTTTTGAGACAGGTTTTTCTGTAGCTTTGGAGCCTGTCCTAGAACCAGCTCTTGTAGACCAGGCTGGCCTCGAACTCACAGGGATACGCCTGCCTCTGCCTCCCAAGTGCTGGGATTAAAGGCGTGAGCCACCACCGCCCGGCCACCTGAGTATTTTTAAGTGTGTGTATTTGTGGTATGTGCATGCACACGCTCAAAAACACCTGAGTATTTTTTAATTATGTGTGTGCAAGCACACACTAGTTTGCAGGCAAACACACCTGTAGAGGCCAGAGGCTGAAGGTAGCGTCATTTGTGGCTTTTCACCTTTTTTTTTAAATTTATTTATTATGTATACAATAGTCTATCTGTATGTATGCCTTCAGGCCAGAAGAGGGCACCAGACCTCATTACAGATGGTTGTGAGCCACCATGTGGTTGCTGGGAATTGAACTCAGAACCCTTGGAAGAGCAGGCTCTTCCAAATGCTCTTAACCACTGAGCCATCTCTCCTGCCCTCACCTTATTTTTTTGTTGTTTTGTTTAGAGACAGGGTTTCACTCTGTATATCAGGTCGGCCTTGAACATACAGAGGCATGCTCCTGCTTCTGACTTCTGAGTGCTGGCATTAAAGGCATGTGCCACCCACCACTCCTGGCCTGCAGGGTCTCTCCCTGAACCCGGATCTCTGGCCAGTAAATCCCCAGGATGTGCCTTCTCCACCCCTTACCCCACCAACTCTGGGGTTTCAGTCATAGCTCTATGCTCAGCTTTTCTGGGGGTCCTGGGGTCTGAACTCAGGTCATCAGGCTTACACAATAAGTGCATCGGGTGCTGAGACTGGTGTCCTAGCCTCATGAGAGTGTTTTAAAGATACCCAAAGGAAACTAAACATCAAGTTGGTGGCTTCTGGGGCAGAACCTGGTTTTCACTGCCATGTCCAGTGCCTTGAGGCCCCTGAAGCCCACACAGCTCTTCTGTTCCTCTAAACGTCTTGAGGAGCTCCCAGGAAGGGCAAACAGAGTTGGCGAGTAATAACCACACCCTCCTGTTACAAACCCTACAGGGCAAAATCCAAACTCCTCACCAGGCCCTTTGGCTCAGCCTCTGTGTCTGCTCCTGCCATCCTGCCCAGTGCCTGACCCTTAGCCCAGCTTCCAGCCACTGCAATCTGTCGTCTCTTCCCATAACAATTTTGGATGGTTTTCAGAGGCACAAACATGGAAGGAATCTATGAGCCCAAAAAAGCTTGGTGACCAGGGCGCAGTCCAGAGCTGGGGTCATTTTCACGTATTTAGTACGAGGACACATCTCAGGGGATAATGACCCATGGAGATTGTGCTTAGTTTTAGGGTCAGTGTCTATTGGGAACCCAACTGTGCATACTTTCTGTGGCTCTCTCCCCACAAATAACCAGGTCTCCCATGACCCCCAAGTCAGGAAAACTTCTTAACTATGAGGCCTCTCACACAAGGTTTGCTGTCTGCTGCCCAGGGCTGCTTTGATTCTTACGGCGACTGGATGTGATACAATGACACTTCTCCCAAGGGTTTCCTGGCCAGCTCCTCTGAGCCTCCATGAATGCTCTCACCACACGATAGAGTAACAAGCCCTGATTTCCTGTGGCAAGGTGAGCACCTCCTCTAGCTGTCCAGGGAAACACCTCTCAGTCCAAGCTGAGGAGCTCCTTTTGCCTGGTTCCCTGCGGACACAGGCTGTGTCTCAGCCTCTGCTTGCCCACAATGTAATTAGACCAGGTGTAGTGAAGGAGGGAAGAGCCATACAGAGCATGATCTGTCCCCCAAGCTCAGGTCCCCAAAGACCAGGTGCCTGCCCTGGAAATGTGTGTGGTAGTTTGAATGTAAACGGCCCCATAACCTCATGGGACGCTGTTAGGAGGTGTGCCTTTGTCGAACTGGGTAGGGCCTTGTTGGAGGAAGTGTGTCACTGTGGAGGTGGGCTTTGAGGTTTCCTATACTCAGGATACAGCCTAGAGTCTGGAGTTGACTTCCTGTTGCCTGCAAGATGTAGCACTCTCAGCTAGTCCTCCAGCAACACATCTGCCTGCACGCTGCCATAATGATAACGGAATGAACCTCTGAAACTGTAAGCCCCACCTCAGTTGAATGTTTATAAGAGTTGCCGTGGCAGGGCAGTGGTGGTGCACGCCTTTAATCCCAGCACTCGGATCTCTGTGAGTTCGAGGCCAGCCTGGTCTACAAGAGCTAGTTCCAGGACAGGCTCCAAAGCTGCAGAGAAACCTTGTTTTGGAAAAAAAAAAAAAACCAACAACAACAACAACAAAAGAGAATTGCCATGGTCATGGTCTCTTCACACTAATAATGTGCCATCCTAGGAAGCCTGGAGACAAGTACCCACTACCCACTCGCACCCCTCCCTCCCTCCCTCCCTCCCTCCCTCCCTCCCTCCCTCCCTCCCTCCCAGGTCTGGATGCCTCACTTCCACACAGATGGCTGTGCTGCTGACGCAGCAGCTCAGGACCTCGGAGCCCATGCCCGTGAGCATCAGCTCTGCCAGCCTCTGCATGTAGCTCTCCGCGTTCTGCATGCACAGCCTGAGGAGAAAAGAAGGACAGCACAGGGGGAGGGCTATCGGCCCTGCTCCCACCCTCTACCCTGAAGCCAGCTTGAAGGGGAACTGAGACAGATCTCTTAAGCATCTCTGGCTAGCTGATGGTAGGGGCCAGGGTACCAGTTAAATACTCAGGGTTGTGATGGTCAGACCAGAATGCTCAGAGATCTCCTGTGGCCTTGGGGGGCCCTTCTCTCTCTGGTCTCTCATTTCCTAGTCCCACTGCCACTCCAGAATCCAGGACATCCATCAGCATGAGACACCTAGCCGTGCCATGCCCAGGGCTAAGCCTCTGCAGAGCCCTTGAGCCCCGGTGAGACCTGGCCCCACCTGGCCATCAGGCTCACTCCCGCTAGGAAGGTGCCTCCGTTCTCCAACAGGGACCACACGGACTGCTCCTCCAAGGCCTGCTCCAGAGGCTCTCTGTTGAGTCTCTTGACCAAGAGCTGCATGGATTTGATGGTGATCCTGGAGAGAGGTGAGCCAGGATAAGGCTGCTGAGGAGAACTGAGGGGAAGGGTCACGAGACAGAGGTCTCCACACTCTGAAGCCTACAGCACGCTGGACACACATGGGGAAAGGTTGTGAGTAGAATCACTCCCACCCACTCCCAGAAGGCCTTGTGGAGCCCACTGGCTTCTAGGGAAAACCTGGAGGGCAGCTTCAGCCCAAGCCTGCTGCCTTGCACAGGGTCCCTCCTTTTAGTCCATCTGTTCTCCAGCACCTCTGCAGGGTCATCTCCTGGGGCAGGGACCCTGTGTGGACCAGCCTCCAGGTCTTCAGGATGGGTGAGGCAGCCTCTGGTCCATGGCTGCTGCCAAGATGCAACAGGAAGGTGTACAGCAGGTCTGGGAACAGGTCTGGGAACTTGTCGTCCTGGTCCATCTTCTCCATGAGGAGCCGTATGGTACACAGCGTCTGCAGGGAGAAGGGCTGGTCCATTCTACCCTGAGTTCCCTGGGGAGTCCAACCCCTGCCTCTGCACTCACCATCAGAGGGTCCACAGCTGCCAGGCGCCAGATGTCGGTTTTGGAGGTGGCGTTTATCCTGGCGGTGAACCTTGACTGCAGCCGACCCAGCAAGCCATGGAGCATGGTCCTTGCGAAAGGCACGTTCTCTGCCACGGCCAACCACACCTCTGTCAGGTGGCTAGCCGAAGAAGGAAAAAAGGGTAGTGAGCTTCTGACAGATTAGCACTCTTTATGCCACCCCTTGGTGACCCCTGTGCAAACAGTTGAATTCTAGGCGACCACCAGAGCCTTTAAAGGTCGCATAACCAGGCCTGGTCCCTCCCTTTCTCTAGGGTTTCAGGGAGAAATTCACAGGGCCCTGGCTTTACCAGGCCTCCTACCTGTTGACTTCCTGGGAACAGCCAATGATGTCTAAGAGCCTAAAGAAGCATCAAGCAGTTTGCAGGGATTTTTTTTTTTTTTTTTTTTTTTTTATTTTCGAGACAGGGTTTCTCTGTAGCTTTTGGTTCCTGTCCTGGAACTAGGTTTTCTAGACCAGGCTGGCCTTGAACTCACATAGATCCGCCTGCCTCTGCCTCCCGAGTGCTGGGACTAAAGGTGTGTGCTACCACCGTCCGGCAGGGATTTTTTTTTTAATCAGATAGTCCTCCCAAAATATGTTCCAGGAGTTTGGGGAGGAGAATGGTCACAAGAGACAGAGGTGTAGTGGAGGGGAATGAATCCTCACACACGGCCACCAGTTCATACCTGCGGGCCGATTCCAGGAAGGTATTTTTTCTCTCCGTATGCCACAGAAGAGGAGAATAAGGCTCCAGAGGACAAGTGGCCTGCCAAACTACCTTTGAAAAAAGGACTTCTTGAGATAGGCATGGTGGCACAAGCCTGTAATCCCTCACTTGGGAGGTAGAGGCAGGAGGATCAGGCGTTCAAGGCCAGCTTCAGCTTCATAAAGGGTTTGAGGCCAGTCTGGGCTACATGTCTCAAATCGAAACAAACAAACTAAAAGATGAAAATAATATTAAATTAGAAAAAAGATAGCCTCCTTGACCACAAATCCAAGCCTGTGCTCTGTTGGGTCGGCAAATGCCTTGTGGACTGACAGCATGCTGGGAACAGAGACCCATGGATACCTAGGAATCTTGAAAAGTCTAGAGAGTGGAAGCAAACAAGTGTAGCCAGTAAACAGACAAGGTGACAAACTGTGTGTTCCGACCCACAGAGCCGGTGCAAGAGCCTGGGCGGGAGAATTCAGGGTAGGGTGTGATGTAGCTCGATAATAGCGCTAGGAAGCTGATGCAGAGGTGGGCGCACCCTGCCCCTTAGCACCAAATACAAGAGCCATGGAGGTGTCCAAAACAAGGGCTTACAGCACTTGTCTGAATTCTACCAACACACCATGCCCCTGGCAAGACTTTGGGATCTGAAACCCAGTAAGGTGTCACCTTAGTGGCATCTGGTGTGACCCAGAATGAGGGGACCAACTAAACCACTTCCAAGCTTCTGGCCCATGGAAGCCATGTGCTAACTGCTGCGTTCCTCAAAAGTTTCTGCGTCACTGTGGTTCAGCCACGACAGCTAACCAAGACAGATTTGGAGGGAGTGACAGCTAGCCTGTGGTGTTGCCACCAAGAAAGCCATTAAGACTGGCGTATCAGCTGATAGGTGTACACTGTACGGTGGCCCTGCCTACCCAGCTCTGATCCTCTAAGCACCACCTTTAGAAAAATCACAAAATACAAACAGCCCGCCCCTCCCCCGTGCACCCTGCAGACCACATCTATGAGGATTCACACACAGCCCTGTGGCTGTGGAGGTGAGGCCTGTCGGGAAATACTCTAAGTCAGCCTCATCTCCCTGATCAACACCGATCAACAGAGCCCTGCTGCTCTGGGGAATGACTGTGGCCTCTTTCTGGGCCCCACCCAAGTGAATTCTGGTATCTTCGCAAACTTACTGGCCAGACCCTGCCTATACCCTGGAATTGTCAGTATCGATAAAGATGAAGTGGGAAAGAGGGAAGATGGCCCTGGCAGGTTGGCTCAAGCACTTAGAAGCTGGTACTGGAATGCAGAGGACCTGAGTTCAGTTCACCTGAACTCAATCACCTGAAACTTCAGCTCCAGGGACTCTGACACTGTCTTCTGGCCTCTCTGGGTACCCGCACACATGTGACGTATGTACCCACATATCCGGAAACAAACAATAAAAATAAATAAGAGGGGACTGCTATCCCTTGGAAACTTAGAAAAGTCCCTTGCCCTCCTGGGACACACTCTGAAAGGTACAGAGACAGGCTGAAAGGTCACAGAGACTCAGAGGTACAGATCTGAGGAGCCCCAAAGGAGGGCTGTCATGAGAGAATGCCCTAGGTTCTGTGGATGTTGTCCTGGAAGGGACAACCAGGGCCTGAGAGGATCTATGAGATTCAAGCTCAACCTGATGATGGGATAAGCCTGGGGTCTGGGTCAGTGGCTTGGCAGAGGCAAGTGCTTCCCGCATGAGACACAGTGCAAGGCACTGCCCAGGACTTTAGCCTCACGGCCACGTCTCCCTTCCACACGTGGCACTCACCTCTCCATGGGCAACGGCTGCCTCAAGAGCGACGTGAGGACCATCTCCTGGTGGTAGTGCGCCAGCAGGAGGATGCCTTCAATGAGGTGCCGCCTCACCTCTGGGTAGTCCACTACTGGAAGGTGGACCAGGATGGCACCCAGTATCTCGGCCACCTGAGGAGGGCATAGGCATCTTCTGGGTGAGGGAGGTATTGGGACTGAGGCTGGCTATTTTTAATTATCAACCCAACTTAGAGGTACTTGGGAAGAGAATCTTAATAAGGAATTCTCTAGGTCAGGTTGGACTATGGGCAGGTCTGTGTGTGTGGTGGTGGGGTGTTTTAATTGTTAATCAAGGTGGGAAGACCCAGACCACTAAGGGCAGTGGCTTTCCTAGGCTGTGCCTCGAACTATGTAAGAATAATGGAAGTACAGGAGTTTAACCCATGTCTTTCCTAGGTTGTGTTTGGTCAGTGTGCTTTATCTCAGCAACAGAAAAGAAAACTAGTTCAGGGGCCCTGTAGGACACCCCCACTTTTGGGGAGCATGGTGGGTGAGTTGAAACCCCCCAAACCTTCTCCAGCAGCCATCAGTTTCCTACTACTACATTTTCATGGTGTCTTCAGCGGCGACAGTTGCATGCCCCTCTAACAAGATCCTGACACCCGTGGTCCCTCATCTACTCACTGGCCAGTGGCAATTCAACAGCTTCCTCACTCTAGAACTCTGCTTTATCTTCTTCAGCACCCCTGGTTTGGGTGGAAGCGGTCCTACTTCTCCAGCCCACACTTGTGTACACTGGTCAGTCCCCGCCCCAACCCCAAGCAACCCCTGCTGGGCTTGGCTACCTTGTCCTCCAGCTCCTTGACCCGCATCTGGAGGAAGATGCCTATCCAGGTGACAGCGGCCCGGTCATGCTGCAGGTCCATGGCCCCGATGTTCTCACAGAGCTTCTGGATGAGAGTCACAACTTCATCGCAGTTGAACTCCGGGCAGACCACCTAAGACCAGAGACAGACGGAATTCCAGGCTTCCTCCCTCCACTCCCTTGTCCTAGAAGGCTAACGAGTTTTCCAAGGCTTCCAGAGTGTACCCAGCCTCTCTCACTCCTCATCGCTGCCTCTCACTCTGCCTGCATCTCATACAAGTCCTTCCTGTCTTCACAGCGCTGTCTTGCACTCTCTGGCCACTGGTACCAAGAAGGCTGATTTTGCCCCCAAGGCAGAAATGACTTTACATCCCATGCCTTCGAGGCTTAACACCTGCTTTCATGGTTCTGAGCACTCCTACCCATCAGTGCGCCACCAGCAGCCCAGGAACTAATGCCAGTATGGTGGTTTGAATAAGAATGGCCCTCATATATTTGAATTCTTAGTCACCAGGGAGTGAAACTCTTTAACAGGATTAGACAGGTTAGGAGGTGTGGCCTTGTTGGAGGAAGCATGTCTTTGGGGGTGGGCTTTGGGTTTACAAAAGCCTTTGCCAGGTCCAGTCTCTTTTTTTTTTCTTTTTGTGGCTCAGGATTTAGCTCTCAGCTACTTGTCCAGCACCACATCTGTCTGCCGCCGTGCCCCCTGCCGCCATGCTCCCCACCATGATGATAATGGACTACGCTTCTGAAACTCTAAGCAAGTTCCCAATGAAATGTTTTCTATTATAAGAGTTTCCTTAGCCATGGCCCATGTATTAAAACACAGTAATAAAACAGCAACCCAGACTGCCAATGCAAAAGGTCAATCTGGACCTTTCCCACAGTCCTCTCCATACTCACTAGGGACTAGGAGAAGTCAGCCCTTAATGTCCCAGCCACTATGAAATATTTCAATACAGATGTGTCCTATTTTACATACCAAAGGCTGCTGAGAAGGAACCCCCAGGGTGACAATATTGGCTGCACAGCCAGCAGAGGGAAGTGGGGCACCCTGGGCACAGCCCAGCGTCACCTTGGCAATTTTGGAGGAGGCACTGGAAATCTTGTCCATGTCTGTGTCCTGCAGGTCCTCCTTACATTTCTCCAGCTCCTGCTCCTTGGTGGCTCCCCACAAGGAGCAAGTCTGGCTCACTGTTGGGAATATGGTTGAGTGTGATCAGCAGGAGAGTGAGCAGCCTGAGCTGCCCTCCAGCATCTGCGTATCCCTTCCCTTCTGGCCTCCATCCACTGAGTTTCTACGTGACGGGCTTCCTCACACGCCACTTCCACCACAGCCTATGTTTCCACTGTCCCTCCAGCCCGGTTCTATCCGGTACCGCTCCTCCCTCGGTATCTGCCAGCTCTGTGACTCAACCTCATCCAAAGAGCCTCTTCTGGAAGCGTCTATGACCTTTGTTAAGCTGGCCACACTCTTGTCTTCTTGCCTGCCCGCAAGCGGGATGAGCTTCCCTCTGTGGCAGGCCAATCCCCTAAAACTAGCTTTCACCCCACTGCATCCCTCATGCCCTGTTTCCTCCCTACCGTGAAGATCTAGCAGGCTGGACAGGATATCAGTTGAGGCCAGGCGGGTTCGCCTGTGGACATCACAGGTGCATGGAGCGATGAGCCCAACTAGTAAGCCAAACTGCCCCAGCTTCAGGGGGATCTGGGAGACAAGAGACGGGTCTCAGAGCTCCACCCTCAAATGCACAGCCAGGGCCACCCAGGAACACCACAGAGGGGAACTAGAGTGGGTGAGGCCTCAGTACCACAGCGGGCTCTTGGAGGCCAATCAATTAATCGTGGTTCAGAAATCATCCACAGTCAGCTTTGTTATACACCGCACTGGTCTTCCAGACGCCTGCCAGATTCCCACAATGGGACTCCACATTCCAATACGAAACCCATTCACTAAATGAGTGACCTGGAAGGGGCTTCTGCAATCCCTCGTGTTCCTTGTCTGTAAAGTTAACTATGCCACCTCCTTTTTCAGAGAATGTTATCAAACCCTGATGGTAGAATCTAGCTGGCATAATGGGTGTACAAGATGCTGAATACCCTGTAACGCGGGTCTAGGCTCTGTTATTCAGCTGAGTCTCCCTCCCCACCTCCATTTAGGTGTTTCTGTGGCTTACCATATACTACCTGGCATACTCCTATCCTGTCCACAGCCATCTCTGAGAATAAGACGGCCAGAGCTCAGAGCCAGCACAGATAGAAAAAAGATCTCATGCTGTGGGTGCCCACTAATCAATAAAACACTCCTTATGTTGGTGATACTTGTTCAGCTTGCTTTATGACTGTAGTGATTAATTTTACCATCCTAGGTAGAAGGCATCTTTCCTGTGTGGTGTTCAGGGTTGTATCACGATTGCATGTTGTGGGATATTAGTTGAAGATGTGTTACGTTCATTTATGCTGTGGAACATTTGTTTAATGATACAAAGATTGTGGCATTCTTTTATGTTGAATTTGTTTAACTCTGTGAAGCTGTGTTACTTTGCCCACCCAAAACACCTGATTGGTCTAATAAAGAGCTGAACGGCCAATAGCTAGGCAGGAAAGGTATAGGTGGGGCTGCTTGGCAGAGAGACTAAATAGGTGAGAAGGGGTGAGCAAATAAAGGAGAGGATGCCAGGGGTCAGCCACCCAGCCACCCAGCCACGCAGCCACCCAGCCACGCAGCCATGCAACCATGCAGTCACACAGTCACACAGCCACACAGCCACACAGCCTCACAGTCACACAGCCTCACAGTCACACAGCCTCACAGTCACAGTCACACAGCCACACAGTCACACAGCCACACAGTCACACAGCTTCACAGCCACCGAGCCATACAGCCACACAGCCTCACAGTCACACAGCCACACAATCTCACAGCCACACAGCCACTCAGCCAGACATGGAATAAGAAAGAAAGAAAAGATATACAGAAATAGAGAAAGGTTAAATCCCAGAGGCCAAAGATAGATGGGATAATTTAAGTTAAGAAAAGCAGGCTAAAAACAAGCCAAGCTAAAGCCGGGCATTCATAAGCAAAAATAAGTATTTGTGTATCTATTTGGGAGCTGGGTGGTGGACCCTCAAAGAGTAAAAAGAATAAAAACAACAAAAACAGAAACAAAACAAAACCAAAAAAACACCTAACTACAACTGCATGTGCCTTGGGTACCACAAAACCTGGATCCATGCTGTGCTATGATCCCATCCTCTCCCACTTCACCCACTCCAAAGCCCAGGTCTCTTCCAAAGGGACTCCTGGGACGGGGTTTATCTGAGAGGTGTTCCCTGCTCTGAATAGAATGAGGAACTTTTCTGTGGATGCGTCCTAGAGTGGCGGGCAGTGGTAGCATCCTAGACTGGCAACAGTGGGAGCATCCTAGAGTGACAGGCAGTGGGAACATCCTGGAGTGGCCATCAGTGGGAGCATCCTAGACTGGCAACAGTGGGAGCATCCTAGAGTGGCAACAGTGGGAGCATCCTAGAGTGGCAACAGTGGGAGCATCCTAGAGTGACAGGAAGTGGGAGCATCTTAGAGTGACAGGAAGTGGGAACATCCTGGAGTGGGAGGCAGTGGGAGCATCCTAGAGTGATTAAGCAGTGGGACAGGTGTACCAGGACTCACACAGACACCGATACTTTGAACGTAGATCTGCATGAGATGGAGATGGAGGGTCATGGCTTTCTCCCGCTCCCATTCTTTCTCTGACAAGATCCACTTCTCCAGGAGCTGTGTAGAGATCCCAGGACATAGGAGCAGTGTTAACATCCTGGCGACAGCCAGCTCCACCCTAGCCAGCTTTCATGCCATGGTCCCTCCCACTCAGAATCTGACTTCCGTGGTTCTAGACACTTTCTTCTCACCCTCTACCATGAAGGGAGTTGAGCTGTGGCCAGAGTGGGAGATCTCCAGCATCCTCTCAAGAACAGCACTTGAAAGTTTGTGCTGGGCCTAGTTCCACACAGATGCCCTAAACACAGACCAACCCTCAGCTCAGGTGTTGCTCACAGGACATTCTAATGTCAGGTGTTTGGTTTTCTGTTTATTTGTTTGTTTTCCCCAGTGCTGTGAACATTGCTGTTAAGGCTTATATATGAAATGCCCCCACCCCAAGACTGTGTGTTGGAAGCCTGGCCACCAGCCCGTGGTATGGCTGGGAAGTGATGACGTCTTTGGGAAATGGAGCTTAGTGGGAAGTGAAGTCAACAGAGATGTTCACTTGCAGGATTCTATCCTCCCTTTCTGCCACTTTTGAGCCATACGGTGGACAGATTTCCACCTTGCCCTTCTGTCATGATGTGTCTTGCCACAAACCTGAAGCAATGGAAGCAGACAGCCATAGACTTAAAGTTCTGAAACCCCAAGCCATTCCCCAGTGTCTGGCTATCCTGTCACTCTCCAGCAAGGGTGGTCGCCACCTCTGTCTCTTTATCCCTCTGCCAAGTAACTCACGTGCACGGTCTCTTGCAGTCCCTTGGGGTCCAGCTGCCTCTGCAGGAGGCCTTCCATCAGCTGCTTCAGGGAACTCAGGGCATTTGCATACAGGGTCTGAGAGAGAAAGGAGGAGAGAGAGAGAGAGAGAGAGAGAGAGAGAGAGAGAGAGAGAGAGAGAGAGAAGTGTGCAGCCATGAAAGGCTCTTATAGCCACTTATCAGTGCTCTGCAGGTGTCTTTAGGGGATGAGATGAGATGCTATAGGAATGTGTTGTTGCTCATGGGAGGAAGGCAAAGTGGTACATGAATCTTCTGCATATGTTCTTATCCCTCATATCCAGATTCCTTTGAAATCATTTACTGGAAATACTGAGGTCTCTATCAGACTGGGGTCCCCAACAAATTCAGGATGCATCTTCACGTATACACACCCCACTGACCACTGGGCTTGGCGTAGATGATCTAGTTACACCATTGAGGTTTCAAGTTTTTACCTCTTATAGCAGCTAGCATTAGCTCATACTTACTAACAGAGCTGCTCCAAATTGCTGTGTTGTCGGTGGTTTGGGAAAGTGGAGCCTACCTATGCCAATTTAAACTTCTGGATTCTGACCCAGAAAACAAGGAGGCCTCCCTGAGGAACCTACCTTAATAGACTCGTTGTCTTCCCCTGGGGGTTGGAGAGAAATAATAGCATGTATGCTGATATCCATCAGCTCCATGCTCTCCTCTGAAGAGTAGAAAGGCTTCAGGGTGCTAAGGAAAGACGTGTTAGCAGCGGGAGTGGCCACTAGGAGCTAAACCCATTCAGCCCACCGCCCACTGGGCAAGGCAGGCATGTCTCAGAATGAGAGGAAGGACCCAGCATCTTGGATGGGGGCTCAGGCATGTTTCCCTGACTAGGAGCCTTGTTCTGCCTGACCACCAGCATTCAGTACTGTATCTGTGATAGAAGCAGGATTTGCAGGCACAAGGCTCACTCTTTCACTTCCCGTTGCCTGCTCTGAGCCTAGGAACCTGCTTCCTTCCAGATCACAACCACAGCGTTGGCCCTCACAGCCTGGTTGTGGCCTGGGGTTTCGGTATCATGATTGGAGCAGCAGCAAAAGGTTGGAGTTGCTCATCAGTGTAAACTCTAAGACTCCACATGGAGGGAGCCTATGGAATCAAAGCCCGTGGGAGCATTCCAGCCCTGGTACACGCAGGGTAGCAGCCAGCTAATTGCTGCCTCATTCTCTTTCTAGACCTGCCTCAAGTTCCAGTTCACAATCCTGGTTGCTCATTAGAATCACCTTGACACCCTTTTAAGAATTCCCAAGGACCACTTTCAGGCTCTAGGACCTCCTTACACTTTTGGTTGGGGCAAGATCAGTGCATCAGTTCTATTAATAGCGCCCTGGGGTTTCCACTGTGCCCCAGAGCTGAGACTTCCTGCCTTAAGAAACTCCTGCCTTAACCAAAAAAAGAAAGAAAGAAAGAAAGAAAGAAAGAAAGAAAGAAAGAAAGAAAGAAAGAAAGAAAGAAAGAAACTCCTGCCTCTCCGCCACTCGCCACTCACTCTGTGGGGGTCAAACTCCCACACAGATCTAATCACCCTGCTTATGCTGAAGTCAAAAGTCAAATGGCAGTCTGCATCAGCCTTTCTGACAAGTACCTATTGTGCAAAAGCCGAATTACGTTTTCAAGGCAGTCCCTTCTCTAGAATTAGAGAGGGCCATCAGTCTCCTACAAGCACCTTCTTCTATCGGTTCTTACCCATAATCCTCTCTGTGTGCATTTTTGTCTTTTCTCCAAGTCCTTCCAGCCCATGCCTAGAGTGCAACAATCTCTGCTCCCCCGAGGGGAATGGAACATCTTCAGAATCTGCCCTCAGTGGCTTTGCTACTACAGCCCACATACCTGCCAATCACCTCCATATCCCAGAAGTAGCACACAACTTGAAAAACTCTCAAGGAGTCTAGATGGACCCCACCTACTGGGCTAGTCCATTGTCTCGGGGAGTTACTGACCAACACCACCGACACTGAGGTAGAAAGAGGAGGTGGGAGGCTTGGAGTAGCACTGAAGGGCAGCCACAAAGTTTGTCCTGTCATCGGGAGGCAGTAGGCGCTCCGGCAGGCCCCGCCCCAGCTCACCTCAGCTGTGAGAGGGCATCCATGGCCATTGACCTCACTGGAGAAGCCAAGTGCTCAGGAGGTTCTGCTTTGATGATCGCCTGTCCAGCACAAGAAGGGTTTTGAACTGTTGGTCACCCAGAAGCTGGGTAAGGGCACAGAGGGCAATGACATGATCTGGTGCCAGGCTAAGAAGGACCTGGGCCTTTGTAAAGAGCTCTCGACCCCACATGCCCACATTCTTAGTGTTCATATGGCAGCGAAGTGCAGGGGAGGGAGGAGGATACACAGTGGGCCTAGGCTTCTCCCCCAGGGCCACCAGTGACTTGATGGGTGTCCTTGGCCACACGATGTACTTTCCCAAGCCCAAGTTCCCTTGTCCTATACAAGACTTGATGCATTTTTAACAGCTTGCACCAGGCTTTTGTAAAGTGACCGGGAGCCAATGAATACCCATTTCCCCGTTCCTCCTGCACCTCTCTTTCCCCAAGGACTGCTTCTGGCCCAGTACAGGTGGTCAGCTATGAGAGAGTGGAGACATTTGGGGACCAGGGATTGGTTGATGCACGAGTTCTATCATCTTGTAGGTAGTTGACCCTTTCTAGACTTCCCCAAAGATCTGTGCAAAAGATGCTCTAAGTCCTGGTTCTCAATGGCGTCTGTCTCTTCCTGTGAAAAAGTACTGAGGCTGTGCCCTTCACCACCTCGCTCCCACCCATCCTGACTACTCTGTCTGCTTCTGATCCCTGAGCTGGCTTCTTCTGGGCACCATTGGGCACAAACCCTGCCCTAGTTTTCCCACTCTTTTGTGACTGTGAAACCCTCTGTGATATACCAAAGTCGTCCTCAGAGCCTGTAGTCTGGCAGATGAGAGTCAGGCAGGAAGGCTTTACAGCCCCCAGAGATATGTCCCAGATATCCCCCAAAGAACCTCAACCAGGGCGACTGGGGAGCTCTGTCCCATGGGGGATCCCTGCCCCACTTACAACAATCAGGCTAGTAAGAGCAGACTTGTGGGTAAACTGGAAGTCCTCCAGGTCCTGGATGCTTTTGATGGCCTTGGTGACCTGCACAACACTCTTCATGAAGGCCATTTTGAGGCTGATGTCCTATGGCCAGAGGAAGAACGTGAGCGAGAACCTGTTTGCAAAAGACTTACTAAGAGCACTGAGCCATGCCCCTCTCTCCTGAATCCTTCCCCGCCTCCACATCAGGGATGCTCTGAGTGACAGCCTCCTCCCCTGTCTGCTCCTAAGCCACAGTGAACTGGGTTTGGAAAATGGCCACAGTGGTCATTTTTGTGTTCTGTGTGTCTTTTCATGGTTCGTGTGCATGTGCATACGTGGTATGTGTGCGTGTGTGTGTGTGCGTGCGTGCGTGTGGAAGCTAGAGATCAGTATTGAGTATCTTCCTCAATTGCTCTCTATTTTATTTTTTGACACAGGGTCTCTGACTAAGCCTGGAAGCTGACAATTCGGCCAGATTGGAAGGAGCCTCCTATCCCCACACCCTCACCACTGAGACTGCAGATCTTAGTCACCATGATTAGCTTTTCCATGGGTGCCGGGGATCTGAACTTAGGCCCTTATACTTGCGCAGAGAACACTTTTAGTGACTAAGTCACCTCCCCACCTCCCACTGGGTGTATTTTACCACAGCGCTAAACAAAAATTTCTTCCACTTCCATCTGCTTTGCCGTTCCAAGAAAGTGGCCCATACTTTTGTGACTCTTTGAAGATAGCCCCTACCCGCCTATATGAGGTAACTGTGGCAGAGTAGGAGACTATGGGGAGAATCAGGGCTCACTTTGTACTTCTGGGGAGCCAAGGTCATCTGCAGCACTCAGAAGAGGCCTGCTGCCTTGTCCCGAGTGTGACCCCAAGCTCAAGAGTGAGCAACGTATTCATTCCCCAGAGGATGATCAAGTCAGGCCCCTAGAGATCCAGAGTGTCACATCCTGTGCACAGCGACATGCATGTGGGTTACCTGGCAGCTGCTGGAGTAGTGGTGGATGATCTTGGCAGTGATGGGGCTGTCCACGTGGGTAAGGAGCATTTGGGGGTGGCAGTAAGAGGACACACAGCTGTACATCACCATAAGGGCACTATTCACAGTCTCTCTCCTCCATGGGTGGTCCTTCTGCGTGAGGGTGAAAGAGGGTAAGGGGACTGGGGAGATGGCTCAGTGGCTAAAAGGCTTGTCACACAAGTGTGGGAACCGGGGTTTAGACTCCCAGAACATATATAAATGCTGGGCCGATATAACAACCCAGTTGTAATTCTAGCCTCAGAAGGCAGGAGCAGGCATCCCCAGAGCAAGCTGGCTGGCAAGGTTTAGTCATATCAGCAAGCTCTGAGTTTTATTGAGAGACCCAGTTTCGGTGAATAAGCAAAAGAGTGATTAAGGATGGAGCTAAGGTCTCCACATGCACGCACACACATGTGTATCTGCACATGTATGCCTCTACACATGCAAATATGCAGATGTACATATTCATACCACACACACGTGAAAAACAGGGAAAATAAAAAGAGAAGGACCAACAGGGAGCAGGGAGTACTCAGTTCACCACAAGGAGGGTGCAAGTACTGTACTGGCTGTGTGGGGGATGGTCTGTGATTGAAGAAGCTGTTAAGTTTGTATAAGGACTTCAATCAACTGTTATTTTGGGTGCTAAAGCCCTCGTTCATTTTCTTAAAAACTTACACATCAGCGGTTTTATCGGGCACAAATTACTTACCAGGCACTGGGCAAGAAGGATTGAACCAGACCGATCAGGATCTACCCACCCTGGGAAGCTTCAGCACTGGGACACATGCTAGGACCACCCATTAGCTGTGAGAGGAGGCTGGTATGGACCTCCTAAGCAGAGGCTCGCTGCACATGCCGTACTTAGACAGCTGAGTTGGAGCCATCTCACCATGGGGAGCTGGCTAGGCACTAGACAAACACTATCCAGAACAGCTAAGAATCACCACTGTGACAATGAGTTCATTAAATTCTGTGCTAAGTGCTCCTTCATTTGCCATAAAGAAGGGAACGGCAAGGGGAAGGGCAATTTAACTCCCTAGTTGGTAGTTGTTTGGCTCAACCTTGTTTCATTGACTGCCTTGAGCAGAAGAGCTGGGAGTCAAGCAACAGGTTGAACCTCACACCAGAACTGACCATTGGGGGGATGCTCTGCAGATGTCTCAGGGAAGCTGCGTGACGTCACAGGTGCTCCAACACCCAAAGATATGGCCCCAGCCATGAATGACTCAAGCAGCCTGCCCCAGATGAAAGATCTCGGTTTCTTTCCCTGGAGCGCTGCCTTCAAGACCTGCCACTCAGCCTCACAGCCAGGAGCCTTACCCTCCAGGCACCAATCTGCCAGGATTGCTCTGACTCCTGGATCCTCTCTTCGAAGTCGTGAAGCACATTCAACACTGTCTTCACCTGGCCCCGGGCACACAGGCCAAAGCACAGGATGACACCCTGCAGGGAAGCCCAGCCAGGGTGAGGATGGACACATAAACCCACATACCCCCCCCACGCCCCATCACAGAAGATCGTAGGTAAGAGGGGCTGAGGGTATACTCACCTCCCGGTCGAAGTCGTTGCTATAGTCTGTCTTGTATAGCAGCTCCAGCAACAGCACCTCCACCCTGTCAGCCTCCAGGCCCATGCCTAAGGTGAAGCCCAAGGCCCTGTACAGAAAACCCTAGAGAGGTGGGAGGGAGGAAAGACCTCAGGCCTTTCTACTCCTGGAATCCAGGAGGCCCTATTGGGGGGGGAGGCACTTGATCCATAGTCCTGATTTTTTTAAAAACAGACATTTATATGCATTTTCTACATCCTTTAAAAATAAATATTCAGTTTGTTCTGGGAAGTCAGATTATGTAAGGGTAAGCATATTATACGTTTTAACAGTGGAAGCAGACTCCTTTCCTATACACATCAATCAAATACGTCCACCCACAAACCCAGCTACTTCCCGACATAAGATAACGGCAACAGATGGAATCGCCTTATTTTGATGTGTCAATATGAGGGGATGGTGGCTTCAGGGTGGAGGCGATACTGAGCCTGGAGACACACTAAGGGGATTAAGTCACCATCTTAATTCTACCTGTGAGCATGGCAGGCTTTCTCATTACTAAGATCCTCTTTGATGTCTTTCAACCGTTTTTATAGTTTTACAAAGAAAGAACAAGGAATAAAATTTCACACGCACAAAAAAAAAACTTAAAAAAACCTAAAACAAAATAACAAACAAACAAACAAACAAAAAAAAAACAAAAACAAAAAACCACATGCGACCGTGGACCAGAATGTGGAAGACAAACAAGAAACTTTTAAGGAATAAGAAAACACAAATCACTGGACTCGACTGTGATTGTTTCCTTTCCTTCTGTTGGTTAGGCTGCCTCCCCATCCCTGGAGGCCTCTCCCTGCCGGAACTCGGAGGCCCCGGTGAGGACAAACCTTTTCCAAAGAGGGGCTGTCGAAGGTCTCGAGCTGGTTGTTCAACTCTTTGCTGAGGCGTAGGCTCCAGCTGGTCCCACGGGTCTTCTTGAGGGAGTTTCTCAGAAACTGGGAAGTGGAAGACTTCCGTGGGCAGAGGCAAGTGACCCCAGCCTTGCTCTCAGCTGGGTTCTGGGAATGCTATGTGACCTTGAACGTGAGCTTGTTCTTTCTGGGCCACTGTTTCTAAACCTCTGAAACATTCGACCAATGAGTCTCCAGCCTAGCACTAACATTCCGTGCGTGTGGAGCACAGCCGTGGCTTTAGAGGTCACTGGTGGGGCAGGAATCCCTGCTACCTTTCCAGGCACTTGGCTCGCTCGGTTCTCTCTTCCTTACCCTTAGTTGTCTTGCTAAGTCAGCTCTGACAGGTGGACATGTGTTCTTTATGCGACCCTAGGCTGGCCCACATGTCAACCCCACCAAATGCCCTCCCACGCGCTCCTTCACTTCTCTCTTCCCCTGGCCTCAGCAGACAGCTTGCCCCTTTACCTGAATTAGCTTATCCTCCCAGGCCTTCTGGTTCCAGGTGAACTCAGTGTGTTCTGCAGGAGAGTATGCATGGCCTCACAGGCTGTCCTCTTCCCCTGCTCCCCCTGGGTAAGCCTCCTGGCCCTGGTATCTGAGGCCCTCCATCACATTCAGTGTTTCCCTTCCCACCTACCCAAGACAGGCATCCCATTTTTAACACGGAAGGAAGTCTGTTCAGGTCCACCAGCCCCTAGGTTCCTGTCATTCAAGTCACATGTCCAGCGGGTGCCCCGGCATGCACACAGAGTGGGCCCCTCACCTTCCAGGTACTGGACCAGCAGCGGGATCTCCTGCTCCCACATGTCAGCCATGGAGGGGGCAATGCTCTGGCTTAGGGTCCTCAGGAGGTTGAGCATGGCGATGCCACGACCTTCTCCTTTGTAGGGTGATGACATCAGCACCTGGAGGGCCCCACAGTAAGTCAATGGAGCAGGGGTCTGGAGTTCAATGTCTTTCTTGTAAAGAAGAAACTGAGCAAGGTATATGGTTTTCTAATGGAGACCATGGATTTCCAGCACAGAAAGGACCCCGTAGGGGACACTGCGGGGAGAAAGGGATGAGAGGCAAGACCCAGGTTCCTCCCTGACCCAGGTTCCTCCCTGACCCAGGTTCCTCCCTGACCCAGGTTCCTCCCTGACCCAGGTTCCTCCCTGACCCAGGTTCCTCCCTGACCCAGGTTCCTCCCTGACCCAGGTTCCTCCCTGACCCAGGTTCCTCCCTGACCCTGAAAAGAGCACTGATTAGCGCCCACAGGACTGAGTCTATCTGGGGGCAGACAGGCTATGGGTGGTGTTCTTGGCATAGGAATCTGAGAGCAGATCCCGGCCAGGTTCCCAGATATCTGAGTATCCTGGAGTGTCCTCTCAAGGACAGCGCAGACCTTGGGACACTGTTCTGCCTAATATCCAGCTTCCTCAGTGCATCCTGGTTCCCCCCTCCCACTGGAGCACTGAGAATAAGCTCAAGGAAGAGGCGTCACTGCACATGGATCTACCAGGCCCAAGCATGTCAGCCACTCACCAGGAGACGAGCCAGGAGCTTCTGGGGTGCAGGCAGGTCCACTGAAGAAACAAGAGGAACCCCCGGTGAGGATGCCTGACCAATGTCAAGACATGTTTTCTATCCCCCCTAGGGAGACACCTTTGAAGGTGATTTCCCAGAATTCTTACCATTACACTCTCCCCAGATGAAGACTGACTCTGCCCAGGGGGTTTTTTATGAAGGACACCATTGGCTCCTTCCAGAAGGAGGGAACTTTTGGCTCATGGATCGGGTCTAGATGATACCTTTTCAGGTTGTTAATGCTTATGTTTGAATGGACATGTCAGGGCAATGTCATAGCTCCTGCTGTACACCTTGGCCTTCCTCCAACTAGCAGTAACTTGAATCCCTACCCTGACTCCCTCCTATCCAGTCTATTAGCCTTAGGAACCAGTGAACCCTGAAAAACAGAGCAACAGCACACAGATAGAAGGAAAAGGTAGGGGCCAGGGCTGGGCTACTGCAGGTGTGGAGACCTAGGAGAGTCAAGGTTGAAAGACCACAGTCACATGGGTGGGTCGCTTAAGTGTCTCACCTTGAACTCAGACAACAGGTCGTGCCCTTTGTCATCCTTGATAGGAAAGATCCCCCTAAGTCCCCTACCCCCAGTCATTCCTGACCCCGTGAAGCCCCAGGGCTAGGAGAGCAGTCCCTTTGGGACCAGAAGTAGTAGGGAAGGGGGAGAGCAGAGAAATGATGTAGATGGGCATGGTCCCTTGAGAGCTTGTGTTGACAGTGCCTGCCCCGAGTGGATCACAGTAGGGTCAGCTGACAGAAGAATTGGTTGGGATGCTACAGTCACTCTAGGTGACTCAGAGGAGCCGAGTAGGGCAAAGTCCCATAAAGGCCACAGCTAGAGCTAAGTTCAGGAGCCCCCTCCTTGCCCCTGCCCAGGGAGAGAGCTGGGGATCTGGGAATATGATGGATGAGCTATCAGGAGGGAGTCTACAAGGTTTGAACCCCTCCCCAGACTTGGCAGACTTCTGGATGTTTCCTGGAGAAGGGGGCTTTGGCTGATAAAGACACTGTGAGACAAGGGGTCAATCCACTTGCCCGTTTTGACTGGTTGACCCAGGGATGCCACCCACCATGCTTGCTCTTTCCAGCCATTCCAGCCTCCGTGTCTTTGCCATGAATCTGGTTCTCTGCCAGGTTCGTGAGACTGATACAGATGGGGGTCAGGGCCTCTGTGTAATCGGTCTCCATGATGTAACACAGCAGCCTCACCCAGAACTCCTGGGACAGGGATGTGAAGAGGGGGCCAGGATTAGAGATAGCCTATGGCTCCTCGGTATTGACAAGGCTCCACCCAGGTTAAAACTCTGCAGACTCCCTCCTGGTGTCTGTGGTAGGTTTGGAGCTTACCTGGCCTCTATCCCAAACACTCACAAGCTCAGCCCTCAACTGACTTTCCTGCCCAAACTTGGACTTTCTAAGAGGCATCCAGATGGCACCTGCCAAGTTCTGGTGGCCTCATACCCATTCTATATGCAGTACATCCTTTGGCCAGGGCCTTCCTCTAGGACCCAGATGCTCTGAATTGCTAACTAGTCAGGTAATCCAGCAGTGCTTGCCAGTTGTGACATTCAGGTTTATTTGTCAACTTGGCTAGGCAATGTACTCACTTATTAAGCTAAATACTAGTCTATCATGATTGTACACATGTCACACAGCTGTGAAAGTCCACAATCCATCAAGAAGATTGATTGCCCTTGAATGCAGGCAGTCAAAAGGCCTGAAGAGAACATTTCAGAAAAAGAAGTTTTGCCACAAGTGACAGCTTTCTCTGCTGCCTACAACTCCAGCTTGCACCCTCCCTCCAGCTTGTACCCCTCATCTTGCACCCCCAAGTTTGCACCCCCCAGCCTGCACCCTCCGGCTTGCACCCCTTCCAGCTTGCACCCCCCCCCCCAGCTTGCACCCTCCAGCTTGCATCCTCCAGGTTGCAGCCTCCCTCCAGGTTGCAGCCTCCCTCCAGGTTGCAGCCTCCCTCCCAGGTTGCAGCCTGTAGCTTGCAACCTCCATCTTATACCTTCCAGCTTGCAGCCTCTAGCTCACACCCCCAGCCATCACTAGACAGGAAGCATCCCACCTATGGCTTTACTTTATGGACAATCATGCATTCCTTTCTTGATGCTGTCATATTTTCAACCTGCAGTGTTGCTGTGTCTCATCTATTGCAGTTAAAATCTGGTACAGTTATTTTTCCTGTAACCTAGGAGGTCATATCGAGTCTTCCTAGCTGAACTCACTGAACTGGAGAATGTCTCCCAAAGGCATTTTGAAACAATGGGCATACTTCAGGCAAAAAGGCAAGTGCTATTTGAGACCAACTGTGTGCCAGTCACTGCGCTAGCCACTGAGGGTTCAGAGATAGAGTATAGCTAGGTTCTTCTACCAGCCTTCAAAATGTGGCCAGGACTATCATCATGGCTATGGTAGCCCACTGGCTGGGGCATGAACTCACGTTGGTCATGCCACTGATAGACGAAGTTATGATCTTCACGGTATCCATGGTGACTTTGTGGACCATCTTCTCTTCCAAGTCCTTCTGATAAAAGCATTCCCGGCGGTTGGTCTAGAAGACAGAACCAAGACATTCCTGCAGGTGGGGGCATGGTCGGGGGCGTGGTCTCAGGGGTAGTCTGCTTGGCTCCCCAGTCCAGACACTGAGTCCTACGATGTTGGGGTCTGTGCCTGGGCCTCGCTCCTGGGAGACAGCACAACCGTGGTCCATACCTGCAGGATAACTATGAGCCTACACAGGTCAAAACAGGTCCTCAGCGAGGTGTTCTTTGCTCAGCATTTGCTGCTGTCCCGAGGGGCTGAGGGTTGGGGCCACTCACCAGCTTGTAGGTAGATAAGGTGAGCTGTACAGAAACGTATTTCAGTCCCCAGCCTTTGATCTTTTCCTGGAAGCCTGACAGGACCAGCTGGCCAATGATTCGTAGAATTGCCATCCGGACCTAGGAGGGACAGGGCGGGCACAGCTGGGGAAGGCCAGGCTTCAGCATGGAGAGCCACATCAGATATTCTTGTGGCACAAGGCATCTGGGAACTGTGGGTGCATGTGACTGGGAGGGATTTCAGGGGATGGATGGCTTCTAGCCATTCTGGCCATCACCCCTTTCCTCATGTTGGAACATCCTTCTGCAGTTCACTCATGGGAGTGCCTGCCTCAGCTGGGCCCTTCATAAACTGATGTGGGAGGGTCTTCTGTTTTGTGTTGATTTCATTGGTTAATAAAGAAACTGCCTTGGCCCTTTGATAGAACAGAAAATTAGGTAGGCGGAGTAAACAGAACAGAATGCTGGGAAGAAGGGAAGTTAGGCAGATGCCACGCCTCTCCTCTCCAGGTCAGACATGGAACCAGCTGCCAGGTCAGACATGCTGAATCATTCCCAGTAAGCCACCACCTCGTGGTGCTACACAGATTATTAGAAATGGGTTAGTCAAGATGTGAGAGTTAGCCAAGAAGAGACTGAAACTAATGGGCCAGACAGTATTTAAATGAATACAATTTGTGTGTTGTTATTTCGGGGCACAAGCTAGCCAGGCAGCCAGGAGCCGGGTGGCAGGAATGCAGCCTGCTGCTCCTACAGTAGACATCTTTATCCCATACTCACATTGGTTACTTAGTCTTAGCAGCCTTGGTTGGGAAACCTATTATTTGCTCTGGGTGGGGTACAAAACAAGTAGTTTTTCTTGTGTCTGAGAGACATCCAGAGTTCAAAGATAGCTCTGTTTCAATCTAGTCCCAACATGCCCTGCCCCGTGTTCCTTAGTGCCTTTGTGACCATTCCCTCCCTGGTACTGCTTTCCCAGTGAGAGCAGCACTCTGAGCTAGCCGTGGACCACATTAGCTAGCTGAGAGGATACTGGGAAGCATGTTCAGCACATACTTTTCTCACAAGCAGTAAAGACTACTAGACAAACCCTGTGTGCCTTGGGACCTTTCCTCCCTGCAAAACAGAGTCCAGGCATACTGCTTGGGAGATCCCTGGTCATAGAGAAGGAGCATCTTGGTGACAGACCTGCAGCTCTCCCTGTCTCATCTTTGCCTCGTCTCTACTCCAGACTCTTCCATCTGAGGTGTCTGCCCCTTGGCCCTTGCTACTCTGACAGGGTTATTACCTTGGACCGAGTGTCCGAAAGGGTGTTCTTGACAACGCGGATGGCCAGGTAGATGGTCTTAATGTTCATTTTGGGGTCTGAAAGAGAAAGACTGGCCTGGGGGGCTATGGCTCAGGAAGACACCAGGCGGCCTGTCCCTGATGCATCATGTTCAATTCCCTCTCACAGACTACAGACTCAGAGTCACTTCCTTAGGACCCTCGCTGGTAGGTTCTCCCTGAGCACAGCCTTTTCTCCCAAAACCACATTCATACCCATGTGCGGCCAGGTGGAAGGCAGAGGTTCATGCCCTATGTCTTCCTCTATCACCCCCGCCCCCCGCACCTTGTTTCTGAGAAAGCATCTCTCACTGAACTTTGAGTTCAGTTCAGCTAAGCTGGCTGACTAATGAGTTCCAAAGATCCTCTTGTTTGTGGCCCCCACCCCCAGTGTGGATTATAGACATAACCTCTTAGAACCAGCCTTTTACGGGGGTGTTGGGGATCTGAACACAGGTAGTTGATCCTTGGATGACAAACATCTTATATGTGGAGTCATCACCCCAGCCTCTGTTTGGGCTACTTTAGTACATTGCTTTGGTGCAATGCTTTAATGAGTTATTTTTGGGTAATTATTGCCTTGAGACAATTACCAAAAAGATTGTTAAACCCAAGATTTGGCCCCTATCCAACAAAGCATCCAGAATCGTTTAGCAATTTTGAACCCACCCATGAAGTGTGAGGAACTGGTTTCTTGTGGCTCCTGGTTAGCAACAAGCAAAGAACAGCTCACGGGCTAAATCCAAGCCCCCCAATTTGTGTAATGATGGTTTGTTTGGTTATTTTATTTTTATTTTATGTGTGTGAGCATTTTGCCTGAATGAATGTCTGCACAAGGTATATACCTGGTGCCTGCAAAGGTCAGAAAAGGATGCTGAGGGTAAAAGTTAAGTCTGTGGACTTGGAGTTATGCCTGTAAGGTTGACCCTCCAATAGAACTGGAGGTCAATAGTAGGATACGAAAATCAGGCAGAGGTATGGAAAGGCCACAGTGCTGGTTCAATCCAAGGTTAAAAAATAAGAAGCAATCAAGAGACTTGGCCCACCCAACAGTGACTACCAAAACAGGGCGGTGAGCCAATGTCTCAGATAGGAGTGCCACTACCTCCCCCCCCACACTCTGCCCATGACGCCTGCCCAGCCCCTCCAGCCAGCTCACCATCTGCGCTCACCACCGCCCTGATCAAAGCCAGTGTCCCCACGCGGACGGCTTCCTTGCTCATCTCCACCTGGCTGAAGAAGAACTTCATCAACTCCTTGGGGTAGGAGCGGGCTGCGGGGCAGAAGGAGCACTCGGTCAGGGCTGACAGGTTCTGCCTCGATTCCTGCACTCAGCAAGGGGCTGGGCCGCACCAGGTCCCGGCAGACCTCACCCAGGGCTACGAAGCAGTGCACGATCTCCATCAGGTTCTGACTGCTGAACTGCTGCTGAACTGGGGCTTTGGTGCACACCTAGGGAGTGGTGTGCAGGGAGAGTTAGGAACTTGCAGGGCATGGGCCACATGGGCAGTCCAGCCCGATATACCTGCATGCGGGCAGAATGCAGTGTGTGTGTGTGTGTGTGTGTGTGTGTGTGTGTGTGTGTGTAGGGGGACCATATCCCAAGGCAGTTTCCTGCTGACTGTCTTGGAGGATGCTCTCACTGGCCTCACCTGGACATGCAACTCTGTGAAAATGGGGTGTAGCAGCATCGGAGGGATGGGGGTGTTGGTGGTAACTGATGCTTCTAGAATCTGCCTCAAGATCTGCGAAAGGGATGGGCAGAAGGCCTCAAGTGACTGCTCCATTCTGGTTGTTTGCTACTCAGCAGGCCACTGAGTTATGGTCCAGGTTCCCCGGTCCCACCCCAGTCCCACTTCAGATGACTGGACTTAGAAACTTAGTTCCTACCGGATGGACTGGATCCAACCCTACATCTCCACCAGCCTTGGATGACTCCTGTGCCCAATAACCATTGAGAGGGCACGCTGGGCCACTAAGAAGGCATTCGAGGCTCTTTCAGCCTCTCTTGTTTACTGTGGTGCATGTGCGAATATAAGTCTATTCTTCATCTGCAGCGGTATATACAGTGGTTCCCTAGATCACTCCTGCTCATTTCTGCTCCTTGTTTTTACAGGAAAGGCCTATGACCTGCCCATTCATCAGCCCAGACCAGGCCTCCACTCAGAACCTGCAAGATCTCCACTTCACATGTGTCAGAGGCTGTGGAGACTCCAAAACCCTTCCCACCTGGAACTCTAGGTTTAAGCCCTTTAACTTAGAAATAAAGTCTCGCTGGGAGGTGGTGGTGCACGCCTTTAATCCTAGCACTCAGAAGGCAGAGGCAGGCGGATCTCTGTGAGCTTGAGGCCAGCCTGGTCTACAAGAGCTAGTTCCAAGACAGGCCTCAAAGCTACAGAGAAACCCTGTCTTGAAAAACTGAAAGAAAAACAAAAGAAAAAAGAAAGAAAGGAAAAAAGGAAGGAAGGAAGGAAGGAAGGAAGGAAGAAAGAGAGAGAGAGAGAAAGAAAGAAAGAAAGAAAGAAAGAAAGAAAGAAAGAAAGAAAGAAAGAAAGAAAGAAAGAAAGTCTCTTTGGGTATAACTGCCAAGGTTCTTAGTTACAGTAACCCTAGAAATCTAAAGGGAAGCCATGCCCACCCCCATGGCTTCCTGGACCCTTTGAGATTCTTCCACCTGAAATGACAGATTATTTTCAATAGTCTCAGGTTCCCCAGTGTCATGTAGAGCATGGGCATTAGGCCTGCTGGTACGCTGTGGACTCTTGAGGATCAAAGGTCTTGAGTCTGGCCCTCACTTGTGTGATGAAGAGGGCCTCCAGGCTGCCCTGAAACTCGGCCAGCAGCAGGGGGATGTAGTCGTACACCTGTTCCCGCAGGTCATCGTTGGGCAGGAGAAGGCTCAGCATGGGCTTCAGAGACTTGATGACTGCCAGTTTCACCTGCATAGAAGTGAGGTCAGTGAGGCGCAACAAGGCCAGGATCTTAGCCACTCAATACTCTCTGGCATCATATAGAGCCCAGGCCTCACCCTAAAGCCCCAGTGGGGCCAGACTATCAAGATGTGAGTCCCATTCATAAGCCAATTGTTCTTGAGCAGGTGCTAAACCTTTTGGTGCCTCACTTCACTTGTTTGTAAATAGTCCTACCTCTTAGAGTTGGTATGAACACAATGTTCATAGACAAGACACCTAAGATTACCTGGAAAGGAGCGAGTGCCCTCAAGTCTCAAGACCCCACCTGAAAGCTCTCTATGGGTTGTTGCCACGGTCCAGCCCTTAGAGCAATCTTTTGGGGTCCACTCCATCCAGCATCCCCAGAGTTCCAGGGTGAACCCAGAAGCCCTGCAGCACCTTTTGGGGAATGCAACCCGGAAATGCAGGGACCTCTGAGCATAGCAAGTCTCACCTCGACATCCTGGTGACGCAGCCACACTGTCACGAAGTATCGGTACATCGGGAAGAGCTTCACAGCAAACTGGTCCTCGGTCATCACGGGGTACAGACTGTCCTCCAGATGCCTCAGGTAAAACTGCACTGTCTCACAGAATGTCTCCATGGCTGCCAGCAGTAGGACAGGCAGGTGGGACCAGAGGGGTTGGAGTTGGAGCCACTTCTTCCTTTTGAACCTCTTTGGTTTACTTAGCCCCCTCCTCTCTGCTCTGTTTACCCTACACAGCCTCCTGACTCCGTATGTCCATGTGAACACAGAGGCATATCTAGGCCCTTCCTCTTGAGGCTGAAGAGTCTGCATGGGGCCACAACCTGGGGATTTCAATAAGAGCAGCGGCAAACACACAGAACCTTCTTTTTCTCAGGCATCAGGGGGTTGGGGCCCAAACTAGTGTCAAATAACCAAATCACAAGGACAGATGATCAGAGGTATCTAGCCTGCCTCCAAAGACCTCGCTGAGTCAAGCCCAGCAGGGAACGTACTCCCTGCCATGTTTCCCTGTTACAACCATCTGTCACCTCACCCTTCTCTGAAGGGCTGAAGCGCAGAGTCACAGATATAACCCATGGTCTTCTAAAGTGTACCTACATGCCTCAGCCACTTGCCTGCAAGATATCCCACAGACTCTCCTGGTTAGCTTTTGTTTTTGTTTTTTATTAACTTAACACAAGCTGTAGTCATCTGGGAAGAGGGTACCTCAATTGATAAAATGCCTCTATCAGATTGGCCTATAAGCAAGCGTGGTGGTGGTGGGGGGGTGTCTTTTTCTTGATTAACAACTGATATGGGAGAGCCCAGCCCACTGTCGGAGCTGTTATCCTGGGGCAGGTGGTCCTTAGTTGTATAAGAAAGCAGTCTGAGCAATTCATGGAAAATAAGCCAATAAGTGGTCTTCCTCTACAGCCTCTACTTCAGTTTCTGCCTCTGCCCTCCTGCCCTGACTTCCCTTCACAATGGACAGCAAGCTGTAAGCCGAAATAAACCCTTTTGTCCCCAAAGGGCCTTTAGCCACAGTGTTCGTCATAGCAACAGAAACCCTGACTAAAGTAGGAGGCTGAGCAACTGCTGGGTTCGGGACCAACACACCTCTCATTCAACAAAGCCTCTTCCCATTCCTCACCGCCTTTCTCCCTCTGACCCACGGGTCCAAAGGGGACACGCACCGCTACAGATGACCTGGCGCATCTTGGCCTCATTGGCAAGTCTCAGCATGGTGAATATGGTAGCCAAGGTGATGCCCATGTACGGCATGAACTCAAACACTGTAGGACATTGAGAAGCCACAGGGAAAGGGTGAGAGGGGAGAAGGCAGAGGGTGGCCTGCCACCTACTTCCGGTAGATTCTACAGTCTACCAGGAATCCTGCCATGGCTGAGAGGGCAGGAAATAGGCTGAGGGCAGTCGTGATTAACGAGAATGAATTTAGAACAAGAGAAGGGGAAAGGCATGAGAGGAGAAGCAGGGAAGAGTGGAGGGACAGAGGAGGAGACAGGGAGTCATGGCACAGAGGGAGGTAGATAGAGAAAGAAAGGGAGGGCCCTAGCCAGGGAGCATGCCTGTCTCACGGGCCTATGTCTACTATGA